TCAGTAATATCGTTTAATATGTTCAAGCAGCAAAGAGACTAAATTTATATAAGCAAATGCATATCTACGTATATTAGCACATACTTCTTAGTATATAGGCATAAGGCTTCAATAGGGCTTAGTCAAAACAATAAGGCATAATGATAACAAATATATGATTTTGACCAATCATCGAATCGCGTGTATTTTATCGAGAGGAAGCACAATTATTACCAATGTACTTGTGTACGAAGAACAAAAATAATTGCTATTAGAAATGGGAACCAAAACTCAAAACTACAAGTTTAGCTCAGAGTTGAGAGTAAATTTTAGAACTCACGATCCTAACCTAACTTGTAATATGGATTTTTTTTTTTAGTTCCCATAAAAAAAAAAAAAAACATACAAACACAAAAATAGGCTTAGTGTTCACCTTAAATCCAAGCCATAACAAAACCAATACTTAGTATTATTATTTTTTTTTTCCCCCAACATAAATAATTCATTCAACATAAAATATATTTAAATTCAATAAATTCAACAAATCAGATCATGCCTTTTTTTTCTATCTCCACACAAACAAAAACTCACTCAAGGTTGCCACGCATTCGATAAGTTAACACTAACCATGATGTGTAACATAAGTGATCTTTTGTTTTCGTTGTTGTTTGTTGATATGAAATAAACTTCATCATCGGTCATGCCCCACATCACGTTACTAATAATCACAAGTTCAGTGAAAATCAGGAACAATTAAATTCTTTCGCTGCGATTTTTACATTTTGACCTTTGACGATCACTGATTATCATTTAATCTACCCGGCAAAAAAAAACGAAAAAAAAAAACAAAAAGACATAAAAAATCGAGAAAACACATTCACCAACTAACGCAACCATTTTATTTTTCAAAAAACGATAAACGCGGCCACAAATTATCGTATCTCCCAGTGATCAACACCCTGTATCTAGAATCTACATGCAGTATCTAACATGTAGTATCTACATGTAGTATCTACATGCAGTACCAAGATACATACAAAAAAGGAGGGGTAGATCCTTCCTTTTACATAATTACGAGGAAGTTGTTTTGATGATCCCACATACAAAATCAAATAGACAAACTCAAGAACAACCAAAAATATCGATGTACTACGAGCCATATAAGGAAAAAACAAACCAACAAAATTGAGTAGTAGTAATTATAAGCCACCTACTGTTGAAATCACGAATTTCTCAATACTAAATAATAAGCTCCATATACAGTCAAACCTCTCTATAATCACACCTTGGTTTTAAGAATTTGGTAATCATAAAGAGTTTGTGCTTATATAGAGGTTAAATTTTATAAGTGTTATATAAGTTGGTTTACAAATTTATGTAATTATAAGCAAATGCGACTATAGAGGAGGTGACTATAGAGAGGTCTGACTGTACTGCAAACTTACTTATTGGTCGAAATAATGAATCGCACACTGTTAAAACTACAAATCTGCCTATCGTCAAAATCACGAACCTCTATTTAAATCATTGAAATTATTGATCTACTAGCTATTAAAATTGTAAACACATTGTCAAAATCATGAGCTACTCATTATTACAATCAGAAACTCACCTGTTGAAATAACAGATCTATCTATTGCTGTATTGCAGAAATTATAAATCCCACCGTTGAAATTACTAGCCAATCTAATGCTGAAATAACTACTGCTAAAATTGTAAACCAATCTAGTGTTAATTTTGAAATCAATAACTTCATCCCACTATTAATTTACTAATCTACTCACTATTAAAATCACGAATCTACCCATTATTGGCATTACTAAAAACCTGTCCACTAATAAAATTGTAAACATACCTATTATCTAGACTTAACACCCTTAATCTTGTTTCAATACGACTTTCGATTTCAGTAGGACTTTTGATAAGACTTTTAATTTTGGCAACACATTCGGTCTTCGGTACGACTTACGACCTTCGGTATTGTGCAATAAATTTACTAAAGTTTCTCGGTATATCAAACTTTCAGAGACATCTTTAATCTTAATAAAGCCAATAAGGTCTAATGTGTTTAGGATCTACAAAATGTAGTGTAAGTAATGCGTAATGGCTTAATAAACCCGGATATCTTATTTAAGTACGATCTTTATATTCCAGCGCATAATTAATGATTGGAAGTGCGCTTCACAACTACGTATTGGATATGTATATGTAAAATTACATTTTGGACTGATAAGTTTAGACTCCCATTCTTTATATTTTTTTTCTATATTCCGTTTTTTTTTTTTATTTTAGAATGAGTTTTGCAATCAACATAACTCTGATAATAGCGATAATGAAAATTTGGTCTGTATCCTGATTTCGTTTATCAAAGATTGACAATCTGAAACATGAACTCAATCCAAAATCGTGTAATACGACTTCGATATCCGGCCTGACGATATGCGATGTTTCGCCTTGGAATGATCACTTTGGAATGACAAGATCAAAATAATAATTGAATGTCTGTCTCAAAAATGACGCTATGTTTAATAATCTGTCTCAAAAAATGATGCTATTTTTAGGGACCTGTATAGTGACTTTTGAACACTAGCACGTGTTGTAACGGTAAATGAAAAAAGGAATTTAGAATTTTTTTTAATTTTAGGATAGAATTTTTTTATGCTTAATCCTAATATCTTCGGTAATGCAGAACCCTTTCTTATCTAGTTTTTAAAAATTATGCATATATAAGTTTTGCCAAAATCATAAATTATATACTTATCAAATTTAAAATATAGTGAAAATCAATACAATATGTAGTTAATAAAAATAATATTTTAATATATAACTTTATATATAGTTTAATGAATAATCGGAAATCAGTTATATTAATATATTTCTAAATTTTTTTTTGTTGTAGTTTCGCATTCAAGAACTAATATAGAACATAAGGATATTGTAGATATATATATAATGTAAAATGCAACAAAATAATGATCAGGATAAATCAAAGTAAACATAATTGGGCTTTGAAAATTGTAGAGTCTTAAGAATTCAACCGATGACCGGCACCCACCCTTGGATTATGATAAATTTTAGGTTAGCTTGCCATCAATTCGCTCATTGAAAATATATTCGCGATTATTTTTGCAAAAGTAATTTAATCAGAATTAGAAAAAAATATCGATGTGAAGAAATTCAGCGTTATCATTAATCCGACAATCTGAATTTAACTTAATCATATCGCTTTGTACTATGAATGATTATGAATCGCTTTTCTGCATATTTCTTATTTGTATTTTCTATTAGGCCACGCAAAGTTGATTTTTGTTTTGCATTACATGGGATCTGAAAAATTGAGTTTTCGGGAAGCTAAGGTCTCCGTCAGGTAAAACCGGTTAAAATGGTGGGAAAAAATAAATGGCAGAAATCGTCACTCGAATAATGTGTACGATGTTTATGGCGCAGCTATAAATCAGATTTCAAAATTAGGTGTAACGTAACACGATCAGGAAGATTCAAAACAAACGTTCGTTCTGGCCAAAAATCGCTCATAACTCAAAATCAGCATAAGAAACCACCTTTAGTGCTCTAATAAAAAGTTTTCGTTGGGCAATTTGACTATACAAATCTCTCTCTAATTCATACCTCTGACACTAACCCTAACAACGAATTTTAAAAATTTTGTCTGCGCCACAAACCTGGTACACATTATTCGAGTGCCAGAAATCGAATAATTGGCACAATCGTGTAAAAAAAATTTTTCTTTTTTTTGAAAAAGTGAAAAAATGGGTCTGTCGGGTAATGCAAAACGAAAAATCAAAATGCAGATAAATAAATTTAATTTTATTAATTTGAAGGCATAAGTTCCAATAATATCTTATACCGCATTACTTTTATATGTGCTAGGTTGTGGCGCAGCAAAAATTATTTGTCATTTTAGTTAGGGTTAGGGTTAGGGTTAGAGTTACGGATTAGAAGAAGGTATTTATATAGTAAATTGTCCAACGAAAACTTTTTATTAAAAAGAACTTATACAAAATTTGATATAAACTATATACCGATAAATACTAAGGGTTTATTTCATTATTATATATTACACCATGTACTGATTTGAGATGTGCGAATGCATATTTTTTTTGCTCTGCATTGCATAATGCAGCATGCGACATTATGCAATCATAATGTTTTATCAAATCAAGAAGCAAGATTCATACCCAATTTTTCTCATCTCTAGACAGAAGTTTACTATTTAATGGTATGTTCAAACCTCATATTAGTTAGCCTGCTTTATACAAGTAGGAAATTACTAGCTGATGCTATATATTATTTAGTAAAGTATTACATATGATATAAAATATAATATTTTATTAATTTTGTTGTTGCATTAAAATTATATAGTAATTTCTATGTGCATTTTTAAAATTTAAAATGTCAACACTACATTATGTGACATTATGTTTTGCATAATGTAATGCACATAATGCAGAATGCCATCTCTAGTACTGATACTATAATCCCATCAAATTTGACAAATTTGATCACGTAATAAATAATCGATCAAGTTGGAACACAACATTTTAAAATGCTTATATGCGCAACAAATGACCAGACTTAGCATTAGAGTTAAGGTTAGAGGCATATGCACTACAATGGCAGGGTTTATCATGTGAGTGTTGTGAAAATATATTTCAGAGCATCCGTGCCATTAAATAAGGCAGCTGCGATAATATTTACGTAAAAGACTATTTATCATGATTAATAATCTGATTTAGCTTGCACTAATTAATTTTGGTCCGGACTAATGCAATTCAATTTGAACTATGGAACAATTTGAATAATTTAGGTTGATTCTTATTTTAAAGATTACTATGTTTATTTTATTTAAATGTGGTAATATTTATTGAAGTATAAAATATGATAGTGATTATAAGCATATTTTATAAATAAAAATGTCATTTAAATTTTAATTATATATGTGAATATACTGTATAAGATAATGGTGGTATTTTTTTTAGAAAATTACCAAAATCAAAAATAGTTTATGAAGTATGTTGCGAAAGATTTTGAATTTCATTTAGAATAGAAACAATTTTTTTGTCAAGGTTTTCAATTTTTTGATATAAATCTTCCCCCTTAATAGGTTTACGAATATTAAGTATTTCTCTCAATTTATCAGAAATAAATGGCTTTTCCGGATCCTGGTCGTTATCAATTTCATTGATTTTTTGAGTAACTTGTTCGACTGATACAGGGTAAGAGCTTAATAAAAAAAATTTAATTAAAATTACTGACATTATAAAAAGATTTAGTATAATCAAGGCTCATTTTAATGACCTTTAGTTCTATATGTAGTTTTTTCACTCTTGTAATACAATGAGCTTCGATCATAAATATTAATTCTTACATTAATTTTGGAAACCAACTCTTCCATCTCCTTTGAAAAGGCAATAAATAAAAAAGCTCTATCTCTTTGATCACCTATTAAAGAATTAAAATGAAATTAATAATAAAATCTTATGATTATATAATAGAGTTGCTTGTGAAACTAAATTGTGCTGGTGAAACTGGTGACTATTTAAAATCTGATTGGCTATTACATTTAATAGCCAATCAGATTTTAGATATTCACCAGTTTCACCAGCACAATTTAGTTTCACCAGAAACTCTATTATATACGTTTGTCTTGTTTATTTTGACAAATAGGAATATTAGTCTACCTTTGACTTTCATAAAAAAAAAGTTCATCAGATTGCATCTCAATTTCAGTTGCCATACTTAACAAGGCAATAAATAAGTTTACCAAATAAACCGAAATAAGATATGTAAATAATAATTTTAAAATTGCCAAGTATGGATATTGATCTGGTGGTAATGAAGGAATTACTCCCGTATCACCTAGATTTTTATAAATATAATTGTGTAGCATTAGCAAATAAAGAGATTATTGGTTAAAACACTTATGATACTTTACCAGTAAGAAAATCATACACCGCTAATAAAGATGTAAAAAAGTTTGCAAACATGTTGGTAGTTGAATAAGGCTGTTGAATTATAGTAGGTGTAGTACTGATAGATCCATCTGTGAGAATCGTATAGTATTTGTTAACAAGATTCCATGGATTATTTTGATCTTTAATATTAATATTTGAAGGAGGATTATCCAAACTGTAATCATCAATTGGCTTCAAATATATATATAAAGCATGAGCAAAACCGAGAAGAATTATAAATAATAAAAAGAAAAAGAACCAAAAAACTTTTCTTGTTACGCTAAAAGCTAGAATCAAGTATTTTCCGAAAAATGGAAATACTCTTATTATCGATATAAGTTTTAAATCTAATAGTAAAGCTGAGGAAGAAATCAGCACAATAGGCGGTGTTCTTTCAGTTAACCAGTAAAATGATGCAATGATAGGAAATAAATAAGATGCTAATTCTATTTTTTTTTTAATAAAAAAATTAGTATTACTATCTATAAAAATATTAAATATGATAATCTAAGGTGAAAACAATTTAATTCGTTGTTTATATACATTCCTTTCTCAAAAGAGGGGTGAAATAATAGAACGTATACACAGTAAATTTAATAGAAGTTTTTCAATCGAAAATTATCGATCTGACATTGCTCGTCTTTTTTGTCCGTTCATTTTTTTTCGGAATGTTTCAGTCCCTTATAATTTCTAATCTTAATTACATTTGGCATTAACAAAAAATCATTTATGCCTATCCAAAATTTTTTTTACTATAAGTGGGATAACATAAACTACCGAATTGAATTGGTCTCGCCTAACTTTAAAAACCTACCCAAATAATTTATAACATCAGAAAAATACTTCATCCTATAAAAAATGAATTGCTTAAGTTCAAAAAATAGATGAATAAATCCAAGGATAATTATAATAATAGCAAAAGGATATTTATCTCTTATAAAAGATGAACCAGCCACAATTGAAAAAACTATCATAAATATCATAAAAAATCACTATATTATTGCATAATATATTAAGCCAAAGGTTTTCCATTTAAAGTCTACGATTGCTTTTCCATTATACCTATATAATTGAGGAACTTCCATCTTGATAAATAAACTGGCATTAGGTTTATATAATAACTCTTTCCAAAATGAATATTCCTCTGAATAAACACATATATTTGGAAAGGGTACAGTCAGGTTGATAGTAGATTGAGTTTTTCTTTTCTTTAAAAGGGTTTTAATATATTTGTAAATGGAAATTCGATTCAAACTTTGTTTTTCATTTTCCTCAGCTTCCTCACATATGTATGTTTTCTTCATAAATTCTGAAGTAGAAACCTTATTGCAAATAGGATCCAAAACAATTGAAAATGTTTTTAAAAATTTTTACATGGTCGAAGGACTAAAGGTATTTAAATCTGATAAATGAGATACAATAGGTTCTAATAATCACAAATTAGTGAGGGAATTTTGTTTATAAAGTTCAATATATCTGGTATAAATTAATTCCGCAAAAAATACATTTTTTTTCCTTTATCACTTTAGCGAATATACTTTCTATATACTCTGCCAATATTAAGGTATCATCTAAGATATATTTGAATATATCCAAATACAGTTCTAATTTATTAAGATCTACATTGCTCAAATCAAATTTGATAAATTTGTTGATAATTTCCTTTTTCTCTTCGATTTCCATTTTTTCGTCCACATTATCTATAAAAAATTTACTATTGAATCTTTCATGGATTTTTCCATGCATATCTAATGAATATATATAAACACCATCTTTAGTTATTAAAAGTAAATCCTTATTCCTTAAGAAATCATATGAAATTATATCGTTAATGTTAACTTCTTTAGCATCTGACTTAGGTTCAAGCTTAGAATCTGACTTAGCTTCAACCTTAGCATGTGACTTAGCTTCAAACTGCAAATGAGGATTGACAGTATTTATATAATTAACAATCCACTTAATTGATCCTTCGTATTCTGATTCAGTTTTAAGTGTGCCATTCTTAGTTGATACTTCGTATTTTTCAGGTGTGAGAGTTTGAATGTTTTTACCTAGTAATTTTTTCAAAGCTTCACGAATATATAAAAAAACACTACTAAAACTTTTTAAATGTTTATAACTAAATTTTGATTCTTTATCAAAAATATTATAAACATGACAGTAAGAGTGCATTACTCCTATAAGTTTATTATTTTGTATTTGAAATTTCTGAAAACAATTTGGTCCGATGGATAAATATTCTTTATATATCCCGGTTATATCATTAACATTATTGAGATTGTGTGGATCCATTAAAATGAACACAAAAACATTACCTTCAGTGGAACTTTTACTTTTGATGATAACGAATAAATGCTCTATTTCATCATTTGTATAAATAAAGTTTGCACATTCGATAAAATCGTCTGTATTGTCTAAATGATAAATTAAGATTATAAATAAATGATTTTATAATATATAAAACATCAATAATGACAATAATAAATAATAAACATATACATGATGATAAAAAAATCTCATATTTCATATAAAAAATAAATATATAATGATTATTGTAGACTAAGATTAATGTTTTGTCTTTGTTAACTTCTATTTTAACATCCTCACAGTTAAAATCTTTTGGTATATGAAAATTATTTTTGTATTCAACAAATTCCTTATTCCAAGATGCTAAAATTTTATATTCATCTATTACGAATAGATCGGCATGCTTTAATACTATTGTTCTTAAATTTCTATGGACATATAAAGTTTTGGTAAGGAAAATTTTATTTTTTTTCTTATTGTCTTGAGCAAATAATCTAAATTTATTATCATCGTAAAATAATAAGTTTTCGTTAAAAAATCCATTTGGATGACTGTTTTAATAAAGGCAAATTTCTGATCATTTTCCATTCTAAAATCAATATTCAATGGACTTTCTCGCAATCCTAAATTAGCTAAAGGAAAATAAAGTAGCTAATATTACTAAGAATTAAATTATTAATGTTATCAATAAATTTTTAAAAGCTTGGATTACTTACCAAATGTTTTAAAAGATGATGGTAAGTTTGTTACTTTTCCACTTAATATTAAATATTCATTGTCTTCAGAAAATGAAAAATCTATCATAAATTTTAATGCTGGCATATTGATACGAACATCAGAATTTTTGTAACGGTAATCAATTACAAAATATTGATTATCATTTAAGTGCTTATGAATATTATTGATGGAATGCCAATAATATATTTTTCCTCGGGGAAATATAATGTGACGTACTTTAAATCTTTGATAAATCCAATAAACGTGCTATAGACAGAAGTTTCTATGGCTTCAAAATTGGCTGATTGTTTTTTAGAAGGTGGAAATACTTCTTTATTTTTGTTTCTAATATCGTCTGAATCGATGTTAATTACGCTGTGTTCTTGGTTCATTTTTTAGTTCATAAAAAGCTCAATGAGATTTAGTTTGTTCTATTTTCACTGTTGATTTTGGGAGAGTGAGCACCTTACAATAAATTAGCTCTGACAGTTGACTTATAAACTTAATTCAGAAATGTATATAAAGAACAACTGGTTCTCAATACAAATGCCAAATATCAAATACCAATACTCAATAATACTTAATTCCTAATCCTAATTCTCTTCACTCATGCGATATACAGTGGCACACGAAACCAATAACTCAAATAAATACATTCTTAAGTAAGGGTGAAACCACACAGATGCATACCACAATTTATAAATACATAAGAAGTACCACAGAAATCTTTGTTTATGGGAGAACTATATCAAGCATAGTTTAAGATGCGCATCATTCAAAATCTTCAGATAACACCTTTCCTTTTCTATACTATATATTGATCTTTGACTTTCATTTCATGTTGGCAAAATGTATCTGCAGGCCAGAGCAGATGAGAAACAATTTATTTAATCGCTTGCCCAGTTTGGAATTATCAATATTTCCTAATTTATTAGCATCAATAAAGTTGTGTACATTATTGCAGTTTGCAAATAGGTGTAATGTAAAATCTTGATCTCTGAAATTCCCATGGTCGTTATCACAAAATTTCGGGATCACATCTTTTTACAAATGGAACTTTATTAAATTCGATAATTAAAAGAAATGTTAGACTTCATTATCCTATCTGATTTTACGTTACATTAACTTTATAAAAATATGGTTTTCTAATTTTGACTGAAGCAAGAAATCTAAAACTATAATCTCTATACTGTAGAATTAATGTAACGTAATATCAGGTAGCACAATGAAATCTACATTTCTTGATTTTAATGATGCTAGAGTTTGCGTTTACTAACTAGCTTTATAATAAACAAAATTCAACTGAATGAAAACAAGAAAATGATTTTTAAATTTGCTATTATAAATTTGGCCACTGAAAAATTTATAATATTGTGGTTTGCAAAAAGGTGTGATCTCTGCGAATCATTATGTAATATAAAATCGCGGAAAATTGGATTATTTTTCAATTCTAAGGGAATTATACAGATTTCTAAATATATATATAGATATCACTAACTGAATATATGGTTGATATAAATCTTGAATCTCCAAAATTCCCACTATCGTTATTACAAAAATCGGGGTTTACATTCCTATTGAACGAAGAAAAATCGATCAAATAATGGAAGTATCATTGAAACAGTATAAAGGTTTAATAGATATACACTATACTAAAATTTTGCAAGGAATTTTTTTTGTTAGAATACAAAATGTGGTTTTGTAACCAAAATTTTAAACTACTGACGATTTTTGAAAAACATGAAAATTTTATATTACACCTAATCTTATAATTTGATTGGTAGACGAAGAGTGGCGTAATCTACTTTGTCAAGTCAGAGATAGAATTTACAAATGTCTAATCAGAACTGTGGGTAGAAATTAGGGATCCCCAAAAATCATGGGGTCACACCATTTTAAAATACATTGATTTAATTTTTTTTTTTTTTTTTTTTTTTTTTTAAACCTGCTTGATCACAGAACACCAGTTAGCATACAAATCTTTATTAATTCATTTTTATTAAAGGAGGTCTTCTAAATTTGTAAGATCCCCCACATTTTTAAGAATTACATAAGTTAACTAACTATAGTAACTGGATTACTAAATGACCCAACTACAACCGGGGGATTTTACCAGAACTGTCCTTTTTCATTTTTTAGTTTCTACAAACGGATTTTACCAGATGACCCAATTACAACCGGGGGATTTTACCGGAACTGTCCTTTTCCTGGAGTTTCTTGTTTTTCGACCGAAGTTTTACTGGAGGTGTCCTTATTTCCTTATTTATCTTGAGGCGTCACTTGTGAGTTTGTGGCTGAACTTCAATCATGATCTTGGCATGGTTTTTTGTCCTCCAGTATAACTTGAACCAGCGACCTTGCGATTAGAGCCCCGGGAGCGCAACCACTACGCTATTGACCCACGGGTCGTGTTTTGTTAATTTCAGTTAGTGTTCTGCAAGGACCAGATTTGGGCAGGTTTTAATTGGACCCGTACTCGTCTTATAATGCTTAACTTTTATTTATCAGGTCTAATGTTAATATAAATTTTTGTATAGCTAATTTGTAATATTGCATTGTATAAAAATAAAGTTCTAAATAGTAATATTGTAATACTTATTAAATTTTAATTAAAATTATATTAATTAAAAATTTCATCAATGTCTTTAATTTATAATTGCATTTGTCTATTTATTGTGTAAATCCAAAATGTATTTGTAGTAAAACTGTCTTTAGTTCTATATATGTATGAGCACCTAAATGTATATATAATCTGCAAATTCTTTTTATTATAACTTATAACATTGTCACCTAACTATTTTATTAGTTAATTTGTTTTGTTTTTCAGTAATCATATCTTCACAACACTAAATATTTGCTTACGTGAAATACTTGTTATTAATTTTGTTAATCAATATTTAGAAAGCTTACAAAATTTAAAAGTTTGTATTATTTTTACACTATCATTTAAAATTTCTTTATTTAAATCTTTATATATGGTTGCAGTCCAGATAGTATTAGTCACTGCTAATAGCTTCTTGTAATTTTTGATAGTGTCTCATGTTTATTGTTAAAAACATTTAAGATATGTCTTTTAATTAAATTACAAATAGAACTATTAAAATATAGAAATTTTAATTTATTGCATAGTGTATAAGAATGGCTAGGTTAAGAACTTTAGAATCTGGTTTTAAAACATGGTTGTTAAAAACCAGATTCCAAATTTAGAACCTAGGTTCTTAGATTTATAATAGGTTTTTAGGTTCATAATAAGTTTGTAGGTTCTTAAATTTTAGATTTTTAGGTTTTAAGATTTATAATAGATAGACTATTAATATAACTATTAATATAATAATTAACATAATAAATATAGTAATATAATAAATATACAGTTAGACCTCATTATAGTCACTCTTGATATAGTTACAAACTTGTTATAGTTATACTATTTTTAATTCTAGATATTATAAAACATATAAAATTGAACCTTTATATAGTTAAACTTTTTTATAATTACCAAATGTTTGTTTCAAAACTGGTGATTATATCGAGGTCTGACTGTAATAAATAAATAATGCTTAATTAAAGTTAATTAAAAGGCTAATAAATAACTTCTTGTATTGATGCAAAATATAAAAGAATTTATACATTTAAACACAATGTTATAAAAAATGATGCTAGAAGAAGATTGGCTTTTATAATGTTTGAAAAACAAGTTATTAAAATAATCTTTTATTAAAAAGACAAGATTAGTATAAGCATCAAAATAATATTGTCAAAAAAGAAATACAAATTCAAGTAATGAATTAAGAATGATGCTAAACATTTTATTTTAGTATAAAATTTTATAATTTTTGAGTATACTTTTTTTTAGAATTAGGCTAAAATTTTAGGTTAATGTTATAATAAAAGAATATAAATAGAACCAGGTTCTGAAATCAGGTTTTAAAACTAAGTTCTAGAATCAGTTTTAGAAACTGGCTTCAGAACCAGTTCTGGAACCAGGTTTTAAACCAGGTTTTAGAACTTTTTAAAAACCAAGTTCTTAGATTTTAAAATAGAATATAAAATTAATGATAGTATTTTAAAAGATGTGACAAACTTTTATCCAACTCTAAAACTATATTTAATTGTCACAAAGATCCTGTTAGATTTGATAACATTAAAACAGAAGATAATATCATTACAGATACACAAGAAATCAAAGCATATATACATCAACAATTTTTTTTTATTTATATAATGCTATAGTAGAAACTTTATTACAGATAGAAAAATAATTCTAAACCTAAAGATTTCTAAACTATATTTGTATTATATAAGACACCTAATGTGATATTACATCACCTATTTCCTATAAAATGCTATAGTTAATTATTTTAAACTAATTTCTAGCTAGGATAGGTTGGAGGAAAACCTAAGGTGATAGTTATAGTATTAAGTAAAGCATGCAGTTAAAGCATATCTTTGTAAGAGCTATTTATTGTTAAAGAGATTAATATCTAGAGGTTGTATTATTGTTGAAGAATTATTTGAAGGAGTAAATATGTTAGAAAAGTAAGATTTTGTATGTTTAGCTTTGGCAGTAATATTTCGAAAGAGTTTTCATTGATGTTAATAAATATTACGAATAGACTATAGCTCTTGGCAGTATCAAGATAAAAGATTGTTGAAGAGATTAATGAGAAAAGAATTGGTTTGTTTGTTCAGTAATATTTTAATATTATTGTATATAGTAGATGAAAAGGTGCCAATAATTGTATATAGTATATAAAGGTAATGTAAATTTGAAGAGTTGGCTGTAAAATTTAGTAAAATATTAAGAAGCGTATTTGAAAAATTATTTAAAATTTAAAGATTGTTAAAGTTATTTGAATTATATTAATAAGTTTGTAAAGAAGATTAATATTATTGTTTGAACAACTAAGAAAGTGAAGAGTATTTTTAAAACTAGATCATTGAGAGCATGTTGATGTATTATAGAGGTAAGGATAGTGAATATTGAGGTTTTCTATTATAGAAGATTGTTTGTAAGAATTTTAATATGAAAAGAGTATTTGAATATATTATGTTCTAAAGATTTAAGTATTTTAAAATTTAAGGCTCATTTAATTTTTAGAATATCCTTAATAAACTTTAGTATAGACCAATTTAAAGTTCTTGAATTGTAATAGTATTTTTAATAAAGGTATGTATTTTAAATGGTATAAGATGGTTGTTTCATAGAAAATGATTTAGAAGAAATAGAAGAGAAAATAAGATATGAGCTTTGTAACATCCTCTTTTAGCAAGTAAGTCAGCCTGATTGTAAAAAAAGTTGTTAGGGTGGGATTTAATTTTGTGAAGTTGTGTATTGATATTTTTAGTATTTTTAAGATAGTATTTAGAAAAGATAACATCAGCAAAATTTATA